CTTCCCGCATGATTTCTGGGGCCGGTAATAGCGTATCCGTAAGATTAACTCTCTAGCTATCAGAATCCGAAGAGAACGTGCAAATATTGCGAATAGTTCCCGAGATATGAGCCAATTTCCACGATGAAACATTAAAAAAATTGAAAAATAGTGAAAATTGCCGAGCGATTTTCAGGCACTTCCCGCATGATTTCTGGGGCCGGTAATAGCGTATCCGTAAGATTAACTCTCTAGCTATCAGAATCCGAAGAGAACGTGCAAATATTGCGAATAGTTCCCGAGATATGAGCCAATTTCCACGATGAAACATTAAAAAAATTGAAAAATAGTGAAAATTGCCGAGCGATTTTCAGGCACTTCCCGCATGATTTCTGGGGCCGGTAATAGCGTATCCGTAAGATTAACTCTCTAGCTATCAGAATCCGAAGAGAACGTGCAAATATTGCGAATAGTTCCCGAGATATGAGCCAATTTCCACGATGAAACATTAAAAAAAATGAAAAATAGTGAAAATTGCCGAGCGATTTTCAGGCACTTCCCGCATGATTTCTGGGGCCGGCAATAGCGTATCCGTAAGATTAACTCTCTAGCTATCAGAATCCGAAGAGAACGTGCAAATATTGCGAATAGTTCCCGAGATATGAGCCAATTTCCACGATGAAACATTAAAAAAATTGAAAAATAGTGAAAATTGCCGAGCGATTTTCAGGCACTTCCCGCATGATTTCTGGGGCCGGCAATAGCGTATCCGTAAGATTAACTCTCTAGCTATCAGAATCCGAAGAGAACGTGCAAATATTGCGAATAGTTCCCGAGATATGAGCCAATTTCCACGATGAAACATTAAAAAAATTGAAAAATAGTGAAAATTGCCGAGCGATTTTCAGGCACTTCCCGCATGATTTCTGGGGCCGGCAATAGCGTATCCGTAAGATTAACTCTCTAGCTATCAGAATCCGAAGAGAACGTGCAAATATTGCGAATAGTTCCCGAGATATGAGCCAATTTCCACGATGAAACATTAAAAAAATTGAAAAATAGTGAAAATTGCCGAGCGATTTTCAGGCATGATTTCTGGGGCCGGTAATTGCGTATCCGTAAGATTAACTCTCTAGCTATCAGAATCCGAAGAGAACGTGCAAATATTGCGAATAGTTCCCGAGATATGAGCCAATTTCCACGATGAAACATTAAAAATTGAAAAATAGTGAAAATTGCCGAGCGATTTTCAGGCATGATTTCTGGGGCCGGTAATAGCGTATCCGTAAGATTAACTCTCTAGCTATCAGAATCCGAAGAGAACGTGCAAATATTGCGAATAGTTCCCGAGATATGAGCCAATTTCCACGATGAAACATTAAAAAAAATGAAAAATAGTGAAAATTGCCGAGCGATTTTCAGGCACTTCCCGCATGATTTCTGGGGCCGGTAATAGCGTATCCGTAAGATTAACTCTCTAGCTATCAGAATCCGAAGAGAACGTGCAAATATTGCGAATAGTTCCTGAGATATGAGCCAATTTCCACGATGAAACATTAAAAAAAATGAAAAATAGTGAAAATTGCCGAGCGATTTTCAGGCACTTCCCGCATGATTTCTGGGGCCGGCAATAGCGTATCCGTAAGATTAACTCTCTAGCTATCAGAATCCGAAGAGAACGTGCAAATATTGCGAATAGTTCCCGAGATATGAGCCAATTTCCACGATGAAACATTAAAAAAATTGAAAAATAGTGAAAATTGCCGAGCGATTTTCAGGCACTTCCCGCATGATTTCTGGGGCCGGCAATAGCGTATCCGTAAGATTAACTCTCTAGCTATCAGAATCCGAAGAGAACGTGCAAATATTGCGAATAGTTCCCGAGATATGAGCCAATTTCCACGATGAAACATTAAAAATTGAAAAATAGTGAAAATTGCCGAGCGATTTTCAGGCATGATTTCTGGGGCCGGTAATTGCGTATCCGTAAGATTAACTCTCTAGCTATCAGAATCCGAAGAGAACGTGCAAATATTGCGAATAGTTCCCGAGATATGAGCCAATTTCCACGATGAAACATTAAAAAAATTGAAAAATAGTGAAAATTGCCGAGCGATTTTCAGGCATGATTTCTGGGGCCGGTAATTGCGTATCCGTAAGATTAACTCTCTAGCTATCAGAATCCGAAGAGAACGTGCAAATATTGCGAATAGTTCCCGAGATATGAGCCAATTTCCACGATGAAACATTAAAAAAAATGAAAAATAGTGAAAATTGCCGAGCGATTTTCAGGCACTTCCCGCATGATTTCTGGGGCCGGCAATAGCGTATCCGTAAGATTAACTCTCTAGCTATCAGAATCCGAAGAGAACGTGCAAATATTGCGAATAGTTCCCGAGATATGAGCCAATTTCCACGATGAAACATTAAAAAAAATGAAAAATAGTGAAAATTGCCGAGCGATTTTCAGGCACTTCCCGCATGATTTCTGGGGCCGGCAATAGCGTATCCGTAAGATTAACTCTCTAGCTATCAGAATCCGAAGAGAACGTGCAAATATTGCGAATAGTTCCCGAGATATGAGCCAATTTCCACGATGAAACATTAAAAAAATTGAAAAATAGTGAAAATTGCCGAGCGACTTTCAGGCATGATTTCTGGGGCCGGTAATTGCGTATCCGTAAGATTAACTCTCTAGCTATCAGAATCCGAAGAGAACGTGCAAATATTGCGAATAGTTCCCGAGATATGAGCCAATTTCCACGATAAAACATTAAAAAAAATGAAAAATAGTGAAAATTGCCGAGCGATTTTCAGGCACTTCCCGCATGATTTCTGGGGCCGGCAATAGCGTATCCGTAAGATTAACTCTCTAGCTATCAGAATCCGAAGAGAACGTGCAAATATTGCGAATAGTTCCCGAGATATGAGCCAATTTCCACGATGAAACATTAAAAAAATTGAAAAATAGTGAAAATTGCCGAGCGACTTTCAGGCATGATTTCTGGGGCCGGTAATTGCGTATCCGTAAGATTAACTCTCTAGCTATCAGAATCCGAAGAGAACGTGCAAATATTGCGAATAGTTCCCGAGATATGAGCCAATTTCCACGATGAAACATTAAAAAAATTGAAAAATAGTGAAAATTGCCGAGCGATTTTCAGGCACTTCCCGCGTGATTTCTGGGGCCGGCAATAGCGTATCCGTAAGGTTATCTCTCTAGCTATCAGAATCCGAAGAGAACGTGCAAATATTGCGAATAGTTCCCGAGATATGAGCCAATTTCCACGATGAAACATTTAAAAAAATTGAAAAATTGTGAAATTAGCAGAGCGATTTTCAGGCACTTTCCGCATGATTTCTGGGGGCGGCAATAGTGTGTCCGTAAGATTAACTGTCTAACTATCAGATTCCGCGGGCGGTAATAGGGTACCGTTTAGAAAAGCTTTCGAGCTATTACTACCTAAAGAAAACATGTAAACACTTTAAGAGGTTAACACAACTTTATACTGAAAACAATGTTTCTGCTGTTAAGATATGTGTGACAGGACATTTAAATCCCAACGTTCAATACACGTAATTTATTAGCAAATTAATCTATATATATAAAATTTGCGTGTCACAGTGTTTGTTTCCATACTCCTCCGAAACGGCTTTACCGATTTTTACCAAATTTTATATGAGTATTCAGTAGGTCTGAGAATCGGCTAACATCTATTTTTCATACCCCTAAGTGATAAGGGTTGTTCACCCTTAACTTTTTTTTAAATTTTTGGACAAATTCAAATTGTTTTTATTTTTTTTATAATGTGGAATTAAAAAATACATACAACCCTAAATTTTTCGTTTTTTATCACCAATCCCTATTTCTTTATAGCCATTTTAGTAATTTAATCATTTTTCATCCCGCTCAAAGAAAATTTTTATATGCGTATTCAGTAGGTCTGAGAATCGGTAACTTCATATCTCTAAGTGATAAGGGTGGTTCACCCTTATTTTTTTTTAATTTTAGTCAAAATTTTTTGTTTTTATTTTTTTAATGTGGCAGTAAAATATACATACAACCCTAAATTTTTGGTTTCTTATCACCAACCCCTATTTTTTATAATAAGTAAGTTACTTTTTGTCTACACTAAAATTTATCTAGAAACTTGAAATAATTTATATGGCAAAACAACGTTTGCCCGGTTAACTAGTATTTATTAATTGTAAAAAACAAACCCAATGGCGTGAAATACACAGAAGAACGCTGTGCCTACAGCTGGGAGCAAATGTGTAACCGACGACACGTAACAATGTTAAATCATTATGATACGCTTGTGGAACACCATAAAAAAACGAACATAAACAATAAAACATTTTCAAACTTACCTTTCTGTGCATCTGATGTTTGATAAGGAAAGCAAACACTGAAACAGAAAAACGTAAGTTAGAACAACACACATAAAAGTAAATGCTAATACATTGCCATTGATATTATTTACAAGACTAAAAATCAAAGTTACTTACTCCCTTGCTAAATCGCCTGAGAATTTGGTGAAGAATACATTGAATTCCAGTCTACTGCAACTAATCAACTTTGTTGTTACTCACGCACGCACAAATAACGAGAAAACCGTAAAATGTGTGTACACTCCGCACGCATAGTCAACAAAACGGCTATCATCACTTATACTTTCTTGTCACACCCGTCGAGTATGGATAGAATACGCTTCACGAAATATATATTTCGCGATGCGTGGTCACCCGCGTGAGGTCACTAACAAACTGAAAGAATGTGCACGCAAAACGTCTGCTGTGCGCAGCGTGAACGCAGCATGACGTAGTATCAGCGAAACAAAGCCTGTTTGTTTACACATACTGATAAGCGTCACACGCGAACGCATAGTAACTCCAGTTGTAAGAGCAGTTAAATTTTGTATACATTTTATTAGGAAATATATTAAAAACTTTGATGAAATCGAATTTTAAATAAAAAGTTAAATGTTTTAAATGTAATATTTAATAAAGAAAATCCATACTTAGGATAAAATATTTATTTGGAAAATATACCCGCACATCATTACAATACTAGACACTTCTAGACACTTTATTATAGTTATCTGAAGTCTAGTGGCCAATAAATTGCTTAAATTCTAATAAATTTTATGTAAACTACGGAAAGACTGCGTTATATTTTTGGTATTTGATACAACCGGGGATATCCGGGTCACAGCAGATGTACCACATGCCTCTGCAATATTTTTCCTTCCTTGCGTAAAATTTTCCTTATCTAATGATAATTCGCTCTTTTCTTTGCTTCTTCCATGGAAAGTAGAGGAAAGGATATTCCATTCACACGTTTCTTACAGAATTGGTTTGCGTTTTCTTTGCGTCGGTTCTTTCTCCATAACAATAAACCCAATATACTACTAGTAATAATAATTCCTAGTATTGTTAAAACCAGCAAACTTACTAGAATACTTGAGAATTCCATCTTTTCCCATTTGCATTGGTCAACGAGATACCAATTAGATGATATTTGGTCACCCAGCTCATTGATAATCACTATACCCACTTCAAACAATTCTCCAGTACCATTAAAATTTGGTATTTGAGATAAGTTCAAATTTACGTGGGTTTTTTCAATTTCTCTGTATTTTCTTTGATCGTAATGCCCAACGATCCAACATGTTTGATTTTCTTTAATCGGAACAAGTGAATCATGATTATTTCCTATTTTTTCTCTACAATCACCTGTACAAGTATTATCCGATTCATTGACAAGTAGAACAATGTACAAATTGCTTATTGCTTCATCATATTCAATAGCCGGTATTGAAATAGTAATGGAGTTGTTGCTATTATGTATAGCAGAGGGGTTAAATTGTAGTGATGGTTTAAAAATAGGACAAATAAATTGGTGAGTCAAAAAAGCAGAACAGAATTTTGAGTTGTGTGTTTCTACAGAAACAATTGCTCGATGGATTTCAGGATTACACTGAAATTGTGTCTGAAACAATAAAAATAAAAATAAATCAAAAATGCAAACACGACGTATCGACAGGAAATGCGGCTTACTTTAAAAGTGTATGTGGCACTTTCAGATTCTTGGTAAGAATATTGGTAATTATTAACACGAATTTTAAATCTAAAGAAGGGTCCATTTGTTTTATTGGGATGTTGCCATTGCAAATGTAGAATTCTAAACTCGTCCCATTTAGCAATCAAATTCAGTGGAGGTTGCGGAGCTAATCAAAAGAAACATTTTATTAGCACTTTACTTTTTATATCTATATAGCAAATTACCTCTAATCCATGTTGTTTCGTTCAAAACTGTTTCTACTCCATAATTAGAGTTGCCCTGATTACGGCCAGCAATTGAAATTATGTAGTTTTGGTTGGCGGTAAGATTAGTTAATGTAGTGCAATACATATTTGGCCATATTTTACATGGATTCAAAAAACTATTAACGGTTTGTTGCGTACTATGACCCCCTGAAATGTAATGACATTTTATTATAAAAGAATCTAGTATTCCAGTAGGCGGATAAGGTGGACTCCATCTCAATGATAAACTTGCTTCAGATAAGCTATATACTTCCGCAAATGGAACTTGATTTGGAACTAAAAGTAAGTAAAGTAAGTAAGTAAGATTAAAACTTTTAATTTAAATTTAAAAGTAGTATTTTATGTGATGCAATTATAGCAGACATACCAGTACTTCGTGTCATTACATTAGTCGACAACAATTTATAAATATTATCAAATTTATCCTCGTTCTTATGAGATTGATAAAGAACTAATTTGTAATTAGTATATGGAAGTAAACTGTCAAGTGTAATTAAGTCATTATATTGCAGGTGTTTAGTCCTATTCATCTCTTCTCCTTCGCACCATTCACTCTTGCAAATAGCATATGTATTGAGATAGATTGGGCCACTCCAATGTTCACAATCAACAACTAAGTCTATTTGAATAGAAGTTTCGAAAGTGATAATTTTATTATTAAATGTGTTTAATTGATTGGTTTCAGTTGCATCTGTGTTTCCTGAAACACTATAAATATCACCTTCACCCTTCTTAGTGACTGCGGATACTGTTATACTATAAATGGAATAAGGTTTAAGATTATCTAATGTAATTGCTGTGGTTGTCACATTTCTTGATTGGATAATAAAATTTTGATTCTCATTTTCACAACTTCTCTTGGCTAGAAACTAAAAATTCAAATTTACATTTAGATAATTAAATATTGGTGGCTCACCATCCAAGTGACATGGTAATTGGTAATAATCCCCAAAACAGGTGTTGGTGCTTCCCAGATAACACTAAGATCACTAGATGATGAAGAAATAATTGTTATGTTTCTAACTTTGTTTGGAACTAAAACAAAAAGATAATTAAATTAATGAAATATTACATATGTTATTAATATAATTACCCGATTCGTCTGTTGTAAATATGATGTTATGTATTATTTTGTTGTTTTTAGTTAATTGCACTGTATAATCGGTAAATATGTTCAATGACAATACAGTATTAATCAGTTGTAAGTGTTTTGAATACTGAATTGCATTGCTGGCTTCATCGCGAATTAACATGTAATACTCTTCTAAGAGACAATTTTGACTGGGATTGTACGATGTCACATTTATTGTCGTACGTCTGTCGACACTTTCAATTTGAATTTGATTTGCTTGCAATTCTACAATCAGATTTACAGTAATGTGTATGTTAATATAATATAAAGTACCTTCACATGTTGTATCAAATTCAAATGTTGTCAAATCATCAATAAAACATTCAGATTTTTTTTATCCGTAACACACAAAACTATCTGATAGTTATAGTTGCATTCTTTAATTAAATTAGTAAAATTAATTAAATTAATTTTAATTGATGTTATTTTTCCTTCTGTAATAGTTCCATTTGGTTCAAATATACGAGTGTAATAATATTTCGGTTCCTGGACACCATCATATTTTAATTCTTTATCGTAGATTGTAATTGTGCAATTTGTGACACAATCAGTTTGAGTGGATGCAATCCCAGTTAACATTGGTAGATTTCTTTTTTTACAAAAGGGTGCAACATATTTTAAATTATTACAACCAAAGAAGCATTCACCATTTATATTATTGCAAAAGTTTGAATTACAATTTGCACATTCAGATGCACAATTGCAACCATACTTTCCTCTGTCGCATACTGAAAGAATATATAAACCGTAATGTTTGCGAATGTGTTCTTAATTCTTAATTGTTCTTGTTACTTGTGTTACAATATTTTCCGGTGTATCCGACTGGACAATGACATGATTCTTCATTACACGTTATTCTGTGTGGACATTCTGTAGTGTTGTAGAAATCAGTACATATATTACAATGATTCTGATTATCACTCGATAAAACACCAGTACTCTCATTTGGCAATGAAATTTTAATTTGTGTTATTTTGTGTCGAAGAGAAGAACACTTAATATTATTTGCTGAATCGAAATCGTACTCTAATGATGAGAAATGAAATTTGTTTGTTTCACTTCCCTTGCAGTCTAAATGCCTGACAATGTTTCGAATTGCTATCTTATCATTAGGACTAAAGGAAATGCGTAAATAATATTCAGCATCTTCATATACGTCAGAATAAAATGTTTTATAATTCCATTGTGTGTTTTGATCACTCGTATAGTATTTGGTTTTAATAAGCTCTAGCGAAACATCATACAGTTGTAATGTAATACCTTTCGCAGAATTGGCAAAAAACGAAATACATAAGTAATTAGAAGCCATATAAAACCAATTACTATTAATAAAATTAATGTAGGGTTTACGAGTTTCATAATATGTATCTAAAATAATAATACAACAATTGAATAAAATATCTAAGTACACATTAAAATTTGTTTTCATACAGTTATGATATTTCCACAGAGCATTTTCGGTATTTGAATGTATGAATAAGTTTGTAAAATTGTTAAATTCTCCATCATATTTCGCGTGATATGATAATAAATTTTTGTCGTTGGTTATTACTTCTAATTGTTGATTTATATATCGAATAGAAATTTGATTCCATTCGTCAATTGAGAATAATGCTTTATGTTCAATCTAGAATTAATTTAGGAAAATTTAAGCAATTATATTTAACGTAGCATACCTTATTGACGATATTTTCGCATCCTCTTAATCTATCTTCCGATTTTGTTGGTGACGCTCCTTTTCTACACCGTCTTATAACACTGCCCTGACCATTCCACCCACCGACAATAAAAATAAAACATGTACCTCTTTTTATCATTGGATGTGAACACAAATAAATTTGTGCACTTGATTTTCCCAAAAACGAAAAATTGAGCTCGAAATGATTTCTGATTTTAATTTCTTCTAATTTTTCAAATTTATAATTTTGTGTCAGTTGCGCCGATCGGGTTATAATAATTGGTAACACTAAATGAAAATCATTATTAATATATTATAAAATATACTAAGTGAAAATATTACTTTCCCAAGTATAATCCATTACTGGACCAAACGTTGCGTTGTAGGCTACTTCTTCATTCCACCCATATTTTCCCCAATTAAAATTGATATACCGCAAGGTCTCATTTGCTATAAAATAAAATTGTAAATTTGCTTATATACATATTTATTGAATAAAATACCTGAAATAGGTTCAATCAACTCAGTGAAAGGTGCTGTGATCCATGCAATTGCATCGTTGTAATCATCACTGACACACGTTGCTTGAACTTTGGCATTTTCTCCAGTACCAGTAACATTTGCAAACAACAGATTTGTTTTTCCCCGTATGTGATTAAAATTGGAAGTTAACAGTAACAATATTGGCAACACACGCATTTTATTTTCCGTTTAAAAAGATGACAAGTTATATATGGAATCATAATTAAATTAATTGGATTTATTAAAGTATTGGTACAAAATACAACTGCTTTTTTTTATCTGACACGAAGAATCTTATACGCTTAGTAAAAAGATATGATCTCCTTGATTTTTATCAGCATACGGATAAATTACTGAGTAATTTTGTTTTCAAAATCATACAAACATACATACCATACATGCCTTCATTTTAAATTTATTGATTGAGTTATTGCTTCCTTTGACTTAATTGAATTGATGTATAATAAATAACCACTTCAAAATACTTATTACATTCATTTCAACTAAATCAATGTTTAATTATTTTTGATTACTTAGAATTGATTCTATCCAAACACTTATCTTTATCAATTCCAGTAATCATTATGAGATTACATTTAGTATTGCGCAGTTACTAGTTGCATAATGTTGTAACTTGTCCAAATGTTTTTGATCAGATGAGTCAGTGGAATAATTTTTAACGCACGTAATGGCATACAACACACACGTGAGAAGTGTTTTGAACTGTACTTTTCAGTTGGATTGCTGCTCTTGCTGCCTATGGAACCTTTGTCGCAGCTTAAGATGAACATTTCAAGTCAGTATATTTGAATATTTGTAGAATAGTTTGAAACACTAATATAACAATTACAGAGGCACCTGGTAAAGTAATATCACTATTTTTATTATTTTGCCATACTGTAATAATTTATTTCATTTAGCCTTTCATTGAAATTGATTTGCAATCTATTTTTCATTTTAGGGAAAATTTATTGCATTATTTATTTCTATTCCAAGGTACCGACAAAAAGGGATTATATCTTACTTTTATTATTAGTGGGTGGAACGGAGAAGGAAGTGGTATCAGACGCTGTTTATTTTTCTACATCGTCTGATAACACTTCCTTCTCTCCATCCTCTACAAACTACAAGGACAAATTAAGATGCAAAAATTTCGAAAATAAGGTATGCTATATTGAAAATGTAATTATTTATATTCAAACTAGTTAACCGGGCAAACGTTGTTTTGCCATATAAATTATTTCAAGTTTCTAGATAAATTTTAGTGTAGACAAAAAGTAACTTACTTATTATAAAAAATAGGGGTTGGTGATAAGAAACCAAAAATTTAGGGTTGTATGTATATTTTAATGCCACATTAAAAAAATAAAAACAAAAAATTTCGACCAAAATTTAAAAAAAATTAATGGTGAACAACCCTTATCACTTAGAGATATGAAGTTACCGATTCTCAGACCTACTGAATACGCATATAAAAGTTTTCTTTGAGCGGGATGAAAAATGATTAAATTACTAAAATGGCTATAAAGAAATAGGGGTTGGTAATAAAAAACTAAAAATTTAGGGTTGTATGTATTTTTTAATTCCACATTACAGTAGAATCTTGATAACTCGAACCTTGTTAAGTCGTAATCCTCAGTAACTCGAAAAGATATGCTATTCCCTTCCGCTGAACCCCGAACGACGCACTAACTCGAATTTTTTAGACTCAGTAACTCGAACAATAAGTTATTTCCCTGTGAGGCATTACTCGTACATTTTAATACTCAGTAACTCGAACTGCAAATACTACCTCAGTAAGTCGAAGTTCATAAAATTTTATGATTTCTTACTCGAGATTCCCGGAGCTCAAAACTCGGGATTCCCGGAGCTTAAAACTCGTGGCAATAAAATCAAAAAGGAATGTTCGGGGCTCGGGGCTTCTTATCTATTGTTTTTGTTTTGCACACGTGCAAGGAATGAATTCATTCAATAAACTTTCTAATTTCTAAGAAACATAGATGTTATGTTTCTTCATTTTTGGTCACTTTTGGTTACTTGGCTCAGTCAGTACATATTTGTTTGGCTGTTAACAAGCAACAACATGAGTACAATACAGCAATTGATACACTACGAACTTACATTGAAAGATGTAATGATATCGAGTATCATATATTCGGTTCACTATATGAACTAGAAAAAATAATTGATAAAAAATCTGTAAATGGCTTGAATCAAACGAAGATAACAGATTTTTTATCAATTATTTAAAACATACAGTGTAAGTTCATTCATTATAATTATGTACTTGACTCTCATTTTATGTTACCTAATGTAATTTGTCGTAATAAATGTTCTATGAAATTGTGCCTTTTTATGTCGAAATTTGATGAGTTACCTCTTCATATCTCGAAATTCTTGTTAAGTCGAAAACTTTCTATCTCGAATTTTTTTTGGTTTCCCTTGACATTCGAGTTATCAAGATTCTACTGTATAAAAAAAATAAAAACAAAAGAATTTGTCCAAAAATTTAAAAAAAAAGTTAAGGGTGAACAACCCTTATCACTTAGGGATATGAAAAATAGATGTTCGCCGATTCTCAGACCTACTGAATACGCATATAAAATTTGGTAAAAATCGGTAAAGCCGTTTCGGAGGAGTATGGAAACAAACACTGTGACACGCAAATTTTATATATATATAGAAGATAGGTTATTTTGATGGATGGTGGCAAAATTAAGGATGACAAAGACAGTGACTATAGCACTTTAATCATTGGTTTGATTCACAGGATAGAGCTGGTTCCTGGACATTTTCCTACGATGCAGCACAAGGCTATATGGAGTGCCACTCGCAGTTATTAAACCTATTGTTCTATTGAACAAAATATAAACATGAAGAAAAGAAAAATTTCACCTGGGATAGAAATATACAATTGTTTAAGTATAAATTAATTCGGAATGCATACATGCCATTCTTAAGCACTTTGATGATTGATAATTAAAGTTTGAATTTGCATTTAAATTTTTTTGACATTTACAGCTTATCTGTAATACTTTCGAAACATTCTTATCATATGAACACATTGTAAATATTCCAGGAGCTGATTTTAAGATTGACATTTAAAAAATTCAAACCATATCATCATTGAATCCAAATATATATTAACACAATTATAGCGCAAATTACGGTTATTAAGTATTCTTATTCTGACACGCGATATAGATGTACAACTAGTGTTGGCTTGTTAACTACACGAGTTTGAATTATGAACATGTCCACTAATCAAATAAACCCTATAAATACCGCAATTAAAACATGCAAAACTCAGTTCATATAAAATAACTCAACAACCATGAATAAACAATTGATAATTTTTGCAATTTTATTTTGCATTTTAGTGAGTTTTAAGCCGTTAGATGTAAGTATTTGCATTTCTTAATATACTTATGTATTTACTGGTTGTTGAAATAGGCAAAACCAGCTGATATTACCGACAAGATACAAGACAAAGCACTTGAAATTGCGTTTAAATTAGGTAATATGGCTAATACGGCAAAGGATCAACTTAAAGATGTATTCAAAACCATGCTTGAGAGCAAATAAGAATATTGAGTTCAATGTGTAAACATAAAATGAATAATAATTATTGGAATGTTTCAATGGCATTTTATAATTAAAGAACTTTGCTCACTATACAGAATGGTAGAGAAATATTTGTCCTGTATTTAAAACTTAACCAATACCACATTGCCGGATTTTATTATCAACTAGCTTCCACCCGCGACTTCGTCCCGGTAGTGTTTAATAAAAATGTAATTAGTTTTTACTCTCTTGTTCTAGACATAGTATGTGTCAATTCTATCAATATGATTCGCAATTTTATTTTAAAGAAAATAATTATATAAATAATTGCTAATAATTCACTTCAGGGCGCCATCTCGGATTCAACTATTTAACTATAACTATGATTGAATCTCAATGCAAACTTTTATCCTATAGAAAAGGGCTGTTTTTAGGGTTTTCTAGGCAATTATTTGAATTTTTCTCGCCGTAAAAACCATCCTTGGACTTTAACGAACATTTTAAAAAAAGAATTGGCCAAATTGGTCTAAGCGTTGTTGAGTTATCCGCTTACCAACAGATTTTGCAATATAATATAAATTCATGTTTATATTATAGATTGTAAATAGTTGATTCAGTAAAGGTTATGCAACTTCAATAAAAAGTTAATTTAAATTAAGCAAATTTTCGAATTTTTTGACAAATATCAGATTATTTGCGTTAATATTTGATCACTGAGTGTCTTTTTTTACCTCATCAAATATTATATATAAAATAAATCAATAAAACACATAAAAATATTTGTGTACATTTATATTTATCATACTATCTTATTTCCTCGTCAATGTTTGTCATCATATTCTGCTAAACACAATGGATATTTAGCCTACGTTAAAATATCACAATATTCATTCATTTCATATCGCCTAAAGAGAGTCGTACACTAAATTATGTTTAACAACAGGTTTCGCTTAGAAAATCTAGAATTACATTTTACGTTAGTTTTCATTTCAAACACATGAGCTCACATCGCATTGCCATCTCTCATTACTAAATCAATTCAATTATTTAATTACTCCAATGACGTGCATGCAATCATTCAATCGTCTTAATCGGTAATTGTACAAATAGAAAGGATATGGTATGAATACAGAGATATGAAGATGTGTTAGAAGATTCGATATGGAGAATTCGGGGACGAGAGAACATTGACGAACATTTGTTGGCTTTTTCCTGCGAGATATGTACACATTACAGATTTTTTGATATAGAATCATGAATGATAATAATTGGAAGTGTATGTGTGTGTATGTTTGTATTTATATAGTTGTGTGGTATATGAATTCATTTTGGAGGGTTCTGGAACGAGAGAACAGACAGGAGTGTTCATGTTAGATTTAGTTTAGCGTTATTTACAGATTATCTACACACCGCGTGCGGTTTGATCTGATTGACGCTGTTTGAGTTTACTTACCGACAATTCCATCGAATTCAATTTCGATTCGATTCGGCTTTTTAAAATATTCAAAGATGTGTTTTGTGATTGTATTGACATAAATGTTTTGATTTGCAATTTTGTGCTGTTCGACGTTTTGTGCGTCACGAATTTTCATTTGATTTCAATCAGATCGTGGGTCGGTTTATTTTGAATTTTTGCGAAGGTTTCACAACAATTCGACAAACAACGCCACCTGTCGTTAATTACTCAACACTATGTCCAATTAACCGCCATCTTATTAGCTTTTATGACAACATAACATCAATAACATGATAAGTAATAACCTCAAAGATTGTTTTACATTTCATCATCGCTTAAGCTTACATTATTTAACAATATTTACCATATTTATAATAATAGCATTTATATATATATACTAGCTGACCCGGCAAACTTTGTTCCGCCTCGCTTTGCTCTTGTGCTTGAGAAGCACGAAGTCGAGTCATACTAACACGGCGCTTTTCACGTGCAATTTTTTGTTCTTCTTCAGTTCTTTGATTCGTAATCATTCGAATCCTAATTGCATTACGGTTTTGTCGGATAAGATTTGATCGTTTTGATCACTGCATGTTGAGTGGGGAAGCTACGAAGCATCGCACAAAGAAGAGACGGAGAAAACTCGTTTAGTATCTTCCAAAGAAGTTTTCACTTCAAAAAGTATTAAAAAAAGTATCCTACACTTACTAAGTCTTATTCAAACAAGCACATCAACCGGGCAACTTTAACCAACTCGTACAAACACACACACACACGTCTATGCTTAGGGGGAAGCTATGAAGCATCGCATAAAGAGGAGACGGAGATAATAGAAAACATTATATTTGTGTGCTCTTTTTCTCCCGTAGGCTAAACCATATAAGCGAATATGTTTGTTTCCATTTAGTGTCGTTTAGTGTTCTCTAAAGGAGTTTTCACTTCAAAAAGTATCCTAGTAACCTTCTCCAAACAAAAACAACAACCGGTCGACTTCAACTCACACGTACTCACATACACACGTCTATGCTTAGGGGGGAAGCTACGAAGCATCGCACAAAGAGGAGACTGGGATACTAGAAAATTTTGTATTTGCGTTCTCTTATTCTCCCGCAAGATAATCCATATACGCAAATATGTTTGTCTCTTTTTAGTGTCGTTTAGTGCCCTTTTAGAAAAGTTTTCATTTCAAAAAGTATCCCATTACCTTCTCCTGGCCCTAAGCTACCTCTCCACCAATTTTTAGCTAAATTGGATTAGCCGTTCTTTAGTTATAATGGAGTTAACCAACACGACTTTCTTTTATATATATAGATATATAAGTCGTGTTAGTTACCTTGCTACACAACTTTCAATATAACTCACGTTAGGGAATTTTGTAGCAATAAATTCAAATACAGGGTGATACAGAATTAAATTCCGCATTTTGGGAAATTATTCTGAACTTATGATGACATCGCGTTCGCATGCTATACTAAAAGAACCACAATTAAAAGCAATTGCTGCGCAAAGCTGGCGGCGCGTCGATGTCTTGAAGCATTTATTGAAGTAAAAATTTCCGCAAAAGATATCAATTTTCTAGTTGCAAATATCATGAAAACCAATACTCTAAATGATAAAAACTTTTGCTTACCAGTGTATCAAACGCCGCAAATAAATTAGTATTCGTACTAGGTAACACATTGAGCCAACGAGTTGTGCAGAAGTCTAAAATGGTTCGCACACACTTGATACTTTTTAGACGATGTCCGATACTTAATATCTCTTAAACTAAAAGAGAATTTATCCCAGTAAGTTGTAGATTATGAAAAATTGGAAAATTCTCTATATGAGTATCTCAATACGAGTCACTTCAACAGCTACCCTCGTATGGTGCCCTGAACGCGAATCACTTCTACCGCTACCCTTATACGGCGCCCTGAATACGAGTCACTTCTACCGCTACCCTCATACGGTGCCCTGAATACGAGTCACCTCTACCGCTACCCTCATACGATGCCCTGAACACGAGTCACTTCTACCGCTACCTTCACACGGAGCCCTGAACACGAGTCACCTCTACCGCTACCCTCACACGGTGCCCTGAACACGAGTCACTTCTACCGCTAACCTTATACGGTGCCCTGAACACGAGTCACTTCTACCGCTAACCTCATACGGTGCCCTGAACATGAGTCACCTCTACCGCTACCCACATACGGTGCCCTGAACAAGAGTCACTTCAACCGCTACGTGCAAATATTGCGAACAGTTCCCGAGATATGAGCGAATTTCCATGATGAAACATTAACAAAATTGAAAAATAGTGAAATTTGCCGAGCAATTAGCTGGCACTTCTCGCATGATTTCTAGGGGGCGGCAATAAAGTTGTAGATTATGGAAAATTGGAAAATTCTCTATATGAGTATCTCAAAACGAGTCACTTCAACAGCTACCCTCGTATGGTGCCCTGAACGCGAGTCACTTCTACCGCTACCCTTATACGGCGCCCTGAACAGGAGTCGCCTCTACCGCTACCCTCATACGGTACCCTGAATACGAGTCACCTCTACCGCTACCCTCATACGATGCCCTGAACACGAGTCACTTCAACCGCTACCTTCACACGGAGCCCTGAACACGATGCCCTCGATGAACACGATGCGACAAACCTCGTCGAGCGAAATACACAGAAGTACACGCAACTTACAGCAGGGAGCAAGAGTATAGCCGACGGCACGCCACAATGTTAAAGAATCATGATTTGCTTGTGGAACGCAATTAAAAACAAAACAGAACAAAAATAATAAAACATTTACAAACTTACCTGACTGTGCATCGGATATTTGAGAAGAAGATCAAATACTGCAACAGAGAAACATGAGTTAAAACAACGCACATAATTGTAAATTCCAATGCATTATAATAACTGATATTGTTTACATGACTAAAAATCAATGTTACTTACTCCTTTGCTAAATCGCCTGCAATTTTGGTGAAGAATACATTGAATTCTAGTTTTCTGCAACTAATCACCTCTGTTGCTGATCACTCACGCACAAATGAAGAGAAAACCGGAAAATGTGTGTACACTTCACACACGCGACACGCGAGAGTTAACAAAACGCCTATCACTTATACTTTCTTCGAACAGCCCTCCAATATGGATAGAATACGCTTCACGATACATCACCCACCGCGTGAGGTCAATAGCAAACTGAAAGAATGTGCACCCGAAACGTCTGCAGTATGCAGAGTGAACGCAACATGACGTAGTATTACGCGATAAAAACCTGTTTGTTTTTTGCGAAAACAAAACAACTCTAGTTGTAAGAGCTGTTTTATACACATTTTATTAGAAGATATATTAAAAACTTAATATATTAAAAAAACTATGATGAAACCAAATTTTAAATAGGAAGTTAATGTTATAAACGTATTAATAAATACATAAAATCCACACTTAGGACTTTATTTTCGCATAAAAAGCGATACAAAAAACAAATAAGTAACAATTTAATTTATTGCTGCTTCTTTTCTTTCCCTATGTTTTCTTGACTTTCTTGTTGTAGAGGTGTGAACGTCACAAACCAAAAACAAGACCAAATCGGGAAAATAATACAAGTTGCAATTGAAAACAAATTATTGCCATAAATCAAATAGTCTTCAATACTAAACCGCAATGCCTTTTGTAATGACATATAAGAACGTCCTAAATTCTCTTTGATAGAATCATTCGGAAATGAAACATACGTATAAATCATTACAGTGCAGAATGCTACAACTGCCGGATGCGCAAGCAACCAGATCAATTTCTGTGTTATTGTACACCGTTTACATGTGCTGGGATTAATCAGCAATGCAAGCGGAATGTAAATCGCACCTAAAAACATCGCTAAAGAAATGTTAAACATCGCAATCCAATTGAGCGCAATAGCGAATTCCATAAGCAGAACAATATTCAAAAATGTCATGCTCATTTGATGTGGAATTCTTATGACTAGAGGTAAGACTATCGGAATGATTGATATTATTGACAAGGCGATTAAAATGGAAATATCTAGCTGGTAACCAAATTGTGCACCGATTTCTACTGCTTTCTGTGGGATAAACGGCACGCAGAATCCTAAAGCGTGGAAAATCAAGAAAACAATCCACATGCGACCATAACCATGATTTTCCTCGTTTATACCGTTGTTGCATTCGTTTTCAAAATCTTTCTTCCATTCTTCAATACTTTTTGTTTCTGATGGTTTGTTTACAATTTTCTTGGCGGTGTCCACATTTTCTGAATTTACTTCTGCTTCAATTGAATAAGTCTCATGTAGTTGGCACCATTTAGCATAACCTTTTATGTATAAAGTTGCTATTAATAAGGCTAAAGCCGGGATGTAAAGTCCAATGGATATGTATCTATGATGAGCTGGTAATAAATAAAAGAAGAAAGACTGATGGAAACGTTCTAGAAGATTGTTTAAACTCCGGAAGGTTCCCTCAAGGATTCTGCCCATGGTGTAAAAGCTAGCTCGTGGTTGTTTGGAATTTGTAGGGCCAAAACCTTCGAGAGTTAAGGCTTGGATGGCAAAACGGTAGAAAAGGCCATGATTTCCATTCGGAGTCTATGTAAATACAAATTTTTGATTTAAATCATAAAAATATTGTGTTTATTTTAATACTTACACCAGTAGCTTGTGTAGACACCATATTCATCAAAGTGACAAACGAATATTTCCACTCTTTATAAAATATTCTTAATTTTTTCGGCAAAGATGAAATAAATCGCCATGAAACACTCCAATCTTTAAACGGGGTGCGCACTTTATCAGCAGCGCGATTTTTAAAAGTCACTTCAAGACCTTCCTTCATACACATTTTGTTTGCAAGATTGAATAAATCTAAATTGGGTAGTTGTCCATTTAATCCTTCGATTTTTATATCAATTTTACCTAAAGTAACATTCAAATAAAAGATACAACCCAAAAAATTACAAAAATGTCTACATACTTATGTCAACATCATGAAACTCCAAATTAATAGCAGCTTGAATAGATCCAGCTCTTCCTTTCATATCACCAGAGTCTAATACACCGGAAGTTCCGCATGATACTCCATGATATGCTTCTAGCCAGGCTTGCATTCCAAGCTGTTCATGTTCAGTTATGAGCAGGATGAGATCTTTTGCCCAATATTTCTCTTCTGTAATTTATTACAATTAATATTGATCAGTTATGGGTGGAAACTTAAACTTACTGATTGCAAACTTGGCAAAAGCTAACATTATAGCAATGGAAGGAACTGTAGTCGGATGAACACTAGTTTTCGGACGATATGGAACAGTTAAAACAAGAGCTTCAGTACTGGCTGCTCTGGGAGCTCGAATAATGCCATAAACATTTTTTCCTGGGAATTTCTACAAAGAAAATAATGGATATTAATAGATTATAAAAGAAATATCCTGTAAGTTATGATAATTTAGTCTATAGTAAGTAAAAACATAACTTCTCAACAATTTACAAACAAATTATAACAAAAATGTCAATAAAAATGAGTTTTTCAAGTAAAAAAACAAGAAAACACAAGTGATTACTCTTGTAAATTACCAGTTATCCAGAATAATTAACAAGTAAATTAATTTAAATATTACCTGTCCTTTCCCCAGTGGATAATTCAATGAGAAGTTGTGCGTATAAGTGTCCAGCCCAATTTGTTGAAACTTAGCAAGCAGCCATGAGTAAGGTAAGGAATCCTCATACTTTTTCATTTCATCCAGTAATTCCGCATGATATTGTTTGGCTGCTGGTTCATCACGAAACTCAGACTTGACTAAACCAGGTAAAAGGGCGTTTTCAGAAAAGTATGTAGCCCCATTGAATTGTGGTGAGGCTAGGATGCAAAAGTATGCAATTCCAACCACATACAAAAAGACACATAGTTTTGGATAGTATTTTAACAGAAGTTTAATTGCTTTGCCATGACCTGCACTTGGATCGGTTAAGAGACCCATTTTTGTTCTTATTAATTTTAGGGCCAGGCCCTTGAATTTAACTTGCCGATAACCTAACTTAATTTGTAAACAAACACGAAACGAGACTTACTTGACAAGTGGCGCCCTCATGGATTTTTGTGTTCTTTTCAAAATATTTAAAATATGCTGTATATTATTCTATAAATATAAATATTATATTCTTGTTTAAATTAATATAAATATATAATATTAATTATTAAATACAATATGATAATAACACTTTGTTTTTCTCTAAGTTGGTAGTATGCAATAGTAAACATTGGAATAGAACTAGATCCGTATGGCAGCAGTGGTAATGCCAAGGTCGTCGCGTTTGACGTTCGACTGGTTGTTTGGTGATGTTTGTGTGTGTTTACATAATTGTACCACATTTGTTATTTGTCATTATTCGAACAATAAGCGTGACAATTAATCACCGTGTGATAATCGCGTGAAGAAAAAAGTCGCGGATTCTTATCGGCTGCGCGCAACTATCTAATCAAATGCAATTGTTCGTGTCTGAATCGAAATCGTGCGCGTTCGGGGGCTACGCGACTGTTCGATCGCTCGCACCTGAAAATGATTCACAATAATAGATAATTATTTGGATGTAGCCGTGTGTCGAACAATAAGAACAATCGGAGCAAATCAATCAAAAAATCGCGAGGCATTTAATCAATTCGCGCATCGGATCAAAACCAATGTCGCGCGCGCGTATCGTCTGCACTTGTTGAGAACGTCAACTTCATAAAAACGATATTGTAAGTTGTTCCTTTGTTTTATTTAATTCCTTTTATATTCAATTTTATTATATTCGCCTAGTGTGTGCATACTGAATGACGTTAAAGCAACAGTTAAAGTGCGTTAAGTTAAGGTAGAAAGTGATAAAAGTCATATCCGTTTTTGTGACCCAGTGGAACACTAAGCAACAACAAAATCAACAGTTTTCTAGGCTATTAAAATTCTTTTGTGGAAAGTAAAAGTGGCTGAGTATATTTAGAAGTTTCGGTTTATGTTTAACCACATCATCATCTCGCGTGTGTTATGCTCAGAGTTATTTTTAAATTATTCGCGGCTATTTTAAAGCTTTTTTTCATGCTGGAGGCTTTTCTATGGGAAATATATCAGCCAATTAAAATGTTATCAATTAAACCACGATTTATGCGCGAATTGTGCGGATAAAATCTATAAAAATTGACATCCTGTTGACAACTAATAGGAATAATCTGTGAAAATTCAGTTTATGATAATTTATTAATATTTATTCATCATTATCACTCTTTTTTCTTAGTTACTTGCTTAAAATTGTCGTATTTTGTTTCAAATGTTGTCAAATAGGTTTATAACAGTATAATTTCTTTAAAAATTAACTTTTCTTTGTTTTCCGACTTGATTTACATTAAAAATCACATTTTTCTTTTATTTTTGGCACATTTTGCTTTAAAATTCAACTTTTTTATGTTTTTCTGTATCATTTCTTATAAAAATTAAGTTTTATCAAATTTTACCACTTAATCTCTTGAAAACCAAGTAAAACATCATTTTTTAAATGTTTTCTTACACTTTGTACAGAAAAATTGGTTATTGTACGTTTTTTTGTTGATTTTTCTGCATAATTTCACGAAAAATTCAAAAAATTACTATTTTTGATAATAAAAATCTGGATTCTAATTCCAGATGATGTTGCCCTCATTGATATCGCCATGGGAACACCTGGCGATCAACGCAGACTTAGACACTTAAACGATTCCGACCCGCTTCTTCACCAGGAGGAGCACCGCCGAAATGATGACCACACACAACAACCACCACAGCCAGTAGCACCACCACCACCAGCAACAAGTAAGACATTCACCACAATTTACTACGATTTAATCTATAATTTTCTTTATTTTGTTTCCTGCAGTTGTCAAAAATGAATTCCACCCGCACGACGCGATCAAAACCGAGCCGCTGGAGCAGACCTACATCGACAGCTACTTTCCGGAGCAGAAAAACACGCACACCAACATCAAACCGGAAGATATCGCCGGGCCATCGGGCCTACAAACACCCAACACGGCATTATGTCCGAAAACCAAGAGTAACATCACCCCGAAAAAGATCAAAAAGACGCCGTCGAAGAAGCAGTACGTGTGCGCCGTGTGTCAAAAGTGTTTTCAGAATGTTAGTAAATTCGCCAAGCATCAACAGGTGCACGGTAGCGGATCACCATTTAAATGTGAGCACTGTAAGAAATCATTCTCTTCGAAATTCAAACTCGTGCGACACGTGTTGATTCATTCCGATCGCAAGCCATTCAGTTGCACGATGTGCGAACGCACTTTTCATCGCAAGGACCATCTGAAGAATCACATCAAAGTGCACAGTCCATGTAAAAAGCTCTACGTTTGCGATAATACGTCATGTAAGAAAGAATACACATCGTTGATCAGCTTCAGGAAACATTTGGCGTTTCATGCGGCGGAAGATGGCGCTTTGAATTGTTTAATATGCGAGAAATCGTTTGAAACAAAAGAAGAAATTTTATATCATTTGAAAGTTCACGCCGGCAGCCGTACAGTGAAGAACCCGGATGAGAAAAAGTATTGTTGTGATCATTGCGATCGTAAATTCTTCACGAGGAAGGATGTACGTCGACATATGGTTGTCCATACAGGACGAAGAGACTTTTTGTGTCAGTTTTGCCCGCAGCGCTTCGGTCGCAAAGACCACTTGGTTCGACACATCAAGAAATCACATTCGAAAGCGACCGATTCAGATGTTGAGGTGAAAACAGAGCAAGCCGCCACTGGTGTGGCGATTAAAGCTGAGGCAGATGAGTCTAGTCTATCACAACCCGAGGATTTCACTGATGGATTGGATTTAGATTCACTGCTGCAACCGTTGTCCGGTTATTTACCACCGGCGCACCCTCAGGGAGAACTCGCCGATCTCGGCCGCGAAGTATTAGATGTGATACCTGATCCCCTGGCGGGGAATGCTTTGGACGCGTCCATCGACGACATTCAAGCAAACTTTTTTAATTATCTAGAGGACGACGTGCGCGAAACTGCTCCACTGCCGGCGTTCAGTCAAATATTCCAACACCAACCGCCACAGCTACCACAGCCGCCATCACCGAGGTAATATTATGGGTGGTTTCATTGCAAAACATTTGAAATTCTATTTGAAACAATCACGATTTCACACATTTAACAGTGCAAAGCTTTAATTTGATTGTAGGCAACCCAACTCACATAATCACATAACCTGTCACATTTAATCTGGAAAACATTTTTGGAAATCGAAAAAGTCAGTTGAGTGTAATGATAACGTGATTGCAATTGAATCTCGTGTCGGAAGCAAATAGAATTTGAAATATATTTGAATGACCCAATAATATATTATTGAATAATCCAAAGATAAGAACGCTAAACACATAGTAAGTGTAGTCATTATATTTTTATACCCAAAAAGTGTTTTTTAACTATTTATTATATTTTTGTTTGTTTTTTTTTATACGTGTACGATAACAAATTACATAGTAGCGTTAAGAGATTCTATATTTATATTTATATACGCATATATGAGCGAGAGAGTTAAGCGATAAGCATATTTATTGTTAAAACAAGATTTCGATCACAATATCTATATATCTATCAGGTTATTACATTTTTACGTGCCGATGGACCGTGATAAGTTCGTAAATGTGATAAGTGTTCCGAGGTCCATGCGGTGAAACAATCAGATTTGTGGAATTTATTGCTTCTTAAATACTGTCGATCGCGCCGATTGATAAAGAAAAAAACCGCAAAACAATGCGAATGCTGATGATGGTATCAGCAGCGAGATGATAACAGACGAATATCATTGACAATAAACCTTGAAACCTGAAAATATCTTACCTGAAACGCTTCGTTTGCTTTTAAATGTTGTTTACTAATTACTTGTAGCTGTTATTATTTATTTACGTTGATTGTTGATGAAAAATCGAATCACTTGCAAATCGATCTGATTAGGTGTCGGTTCAGGTTTTGAAATATGTTGAAATGATGGGTTTTTAACCAGTGAAATACTTAACACTTTAAACAAACTTATAAAAAGTACAAAAATCGCAACAATGTGAATGTGTTATTTTTGGCTAGGTTACCATAACGTGTTTGTTTTGTATGTAGATAGGAAACAATGAGCGTTCGACGATGCATTCCTCCTCCGTGTATATATAAATACCTAAATTATTACGTTTTTGATTTGATCGTATCTACCTCAATACTTTAAATATGTTTGCAACAATCATTGCTGGATATTCAGCTAGTCATAGTGTTTAAGATGATGATAGGGAGAGAGCGGTACATGCGGGGATGTATTTTTTATAAGCGTAGATTATAATATCATGTTTGACGAAGAAATGTGGAGATGTGCAGAGATTTAACTACCTACATGCTATATATTTATCTTTATCGGATTTAGAGAGATGTAAATAAGAGTTCTACTGTTAATAACTATTCTATATATTTTTATATTGTAGTACTGCATAATAATACATTATGATACATATTTTAATAATTTATTGTGTTTTTATTAGTGAAAAATGTTAAAAACGATTGTTTTTCAGATTTAGTTTAGTTTAGTTTTTGTTGGTGTAAGTGAGCGTACGCGAAATTATAGGAACTATATTTTCTATTTTATTTTTTTAAATATTTATTTATAAAATTCTACGTGATTTAATTGGATTTTACAATTTTATATGTTGAGTTAACATGTTTCGCCCTGAGGGCATCTTCATCAACTTTTATGTTTAACTCAACATATAAAATTGCAAAATCCAATTAAATCACCTAGAATTTTATAAATAAATTGTATTAAAAAATATACAATGGATTACGTATTCACAATTGAAAATAATAAAATCTATTTTATTTGGTTTTTATTATAAATACGGATTTTTATTGCATTTTTCAAATGTTTTGATTGGTTGTTTTTTGAATTACTTGAATTTTTACAATTATCCGCTGGAAAATGATAATTGTGTGCATTTTATCACGTTATAGCAACGTGTCCTTTAATCCAGGAACAAAAATTAACAAATATTGGAATTTTACGCAGATTGGTATCTGCTTAATCTTTTGTAAGCTGGTTATAAACTCAATTGCTCTAGTAAATATCCGGTAAATATTTCCTGAATTGTGACCATCGATGTCATGTCTATATTTTAAGCCATAATTGCAAGAAATTAAAATATTTTTCGTCGTAACACAGAGAAATTAATATAAACAAACCAAGTTGTACATATTCTGTTTTTATACAGAGTTTATCGGTTAAACGAGGCTATATCGTTTGCAATAGTTGTGTCCCTGAGTAAACTTACGCTCAGCATGTTGCTTATCTCTAAATAATTCTTTGTTTTGGCGTTAGATGTGGCTGCAATGCACTTATTTGCATTAAATTCGGGTTTAGTTTCTCGCAGCAGTCAGGTCAAAATATCGTATCAGTTTATTTATTTTTTGTTAGTGCACATTGCGTGCACATTGAGTTAGATAGAAGCAAGCGATGACATGCACCGAATTGGTTTTTGTTATCAGCGAGGCAATGCATCGAGGTGAATTCACACACTGCACAAAAATAAACTGTATTGTCACCTTAAATAAGTATTACTTTGTTATTTGCTCTTAAAACATCAATATATCAAAATAAAACATTCGGATTTATTAAACTGCTATAAATATTTATTTGGTTTTTATTATTTTAATTTAAAATATTTATTTCAATTTTTACAGTTAAATATTTGACTGAAATAAATTGAAAAATGCAATAGATTGAAATTTTTATAAGTTATATATTTCAAATAAATTAACATTCATTTGGCTTTTGGTGTCACATTCAAATATCAGTACATAATATTTTATACAAATATAACATGGTTTAACAACATTTGTTTTTATCTTTTTTTCACATAGTTTTCTTTAATTTCTACCTCAACCGCTTTAAAATTTAATCGGAATTATAATACAACATAACTTCTATCCATATAAAACAATTTCAATATAAAATAGACTCAATAATAGACCCAGGTTTTACATAAAATTAGTATATATACCACATACTAACATTTTAGCAATTCATCGTGAACGTTAAGTTAAACACACATACGTCCAGGCACATATATACAATTGTTATATATAATACGTATAAAAATCGAAATTTAAGCTGCGTTTTCTCTTCTATAACACATATACGTTATAGTAATCACACACAATCACTCAAAACTTTTGAAAATAGCATTAAATATACTAATAGTACATTGAGTTGCCTATATGCATCAGAACTATAGGCTATTCGTTTAAATAAAAAAATTTATATAGCCATTTAAATTCGATTAGGTCAATGATTGTGTGTGGAAACTATAAAAAATTAATTTGTTTAAATTTAATTTAAATTTATTTTAAATTTAAATTTTACTCTAATCATGATGTAAACTTTGGACGATTTTCAACGTGTTTTAAATTATTATATTCCAATATAATCCAAAGCATCATGTTTACTTTCAATTTAGTTTCGTTATTTAGATTTCATCATCGTCAAAGCGCACGCATCGTTAATCAAGTTTGTCGTAAGTTTCAAGCGGAACGGTACAGTACAGATGTTGATATTTAAAGTTTTATTACACTCGAGATTAAAAAGCTTCTTAAGTTTAGTGTTAAGTTGAGATATAGTCATTTTGCGGTTCTAATCGATAACAAAATATATATTTTCTAAATTAATTAATTAATGAAAATGAAAAACTACAGTTTAATAAAATTAGAAGCGGTATTTAAAGATACAATTCTCGATAAACATTTTATAGTTTGGAAGATTATTCTGATGTACATACAATATCTTCTTTTAATTACAATTATTTATTAGGATGTCCATGTTATACACAATCGTAGTAGGTTTATTGATAGGCCTGTGAATATTATCGGAAAATAACCTACAAAATGTTAGTTTTAACAAAATAATTTATGTTTAGCCTTAAAATATTAAAATTAATTATTTTCAAATTATTAAAGCGTAATTTTTGGTTTTGCACTAATAATTATGTAATCCTGAGAGTAAAAAAGTATATTACACTTAACAATTTAAAAAACATAACCACTAAACTTACTTAACCAATAATATTAGCATCAGCGTGTATAATTGGTTGTCTATCGTGAGTTTTTAGTTTAAAAAACGTAAAAATAAGATTTTTTTCAAGAAAACATACTGAATTGAGGTTATATACTCTCCAGAGTACAAAATAAAACAAATATACTTTTTTTTCTTGTTAAATTAAAACCTAAAAAAATGACAACACTGTAATTTTTATACTAATTTTAAATTTATATCATATGCAACCAGTTTAACTATTGCAGGCCTTCTATAATATTACGCGCAAGAAAAAATAGCTTTGAGTTTAGGCTCTGTGTCAGTATACTTATTGTCCTTTCCGAAACAAACACCTTCGATAACCTGGACATCCCTCACAGTGATTGCAAAATATGTCTGGAAGTTATAGTTGATTTTGTATTTTAAATAGAATACTTAAATCGACTCTCATATTTGCCTACTAGTTTATCTCGTTACAAAATATCTATAATTGGAATGTGTTTATCTCCGCCACGCCTGCGCATAATTAATACGTAATAATTTGCCCGTTAAATTCACTAACTCGTGATGCTATCACATACTTATTCCATACGAAATATTAAATTTAATTGGTCTATAGAAATAGATTTATAGATTCTCAGCGATTCACGTCCCGCGCATGCGCAAGTGTCTTAAATTTTTTGTTTTTCTTTTATATTGATATGCGGAGGAAAATCGGGCTACACGAAGCGCATGTTAAATTTGTGTCTAGGTGTGCTTGCGGGGGATGGATTAGCAACGTTGTGATTGGCGCTGTTTTATCGCAAGGACGCCGAGAGGAAAAAGTCGTTCGACTCGTCGTGCCACTCCTCCATCGGCGGGCCGAAACTTTCGTTAAAGAACTGATCGATCTCCTTATAAAGGTGTATCAGTGCTTTAGTGCCAAACGCGTGGTTTTCGTCCGGATACACCTGAAATGCAACAATTGAGAGCACTCCGTACAGTATCAGTTATCGTCTACAACGAAAGCCAGTTGTGTGTCAGTTAGATTTTTTGTAAATTGTGTTTTCAGGCCAAAAAGATATCCCACTCGTCCCTATCAACGCCGAAATACTCATTAAAAAACTGATCAATATACGTATAGAGATGCAATTGTGTTTTTGCGTCGAATGGTGCACTCTCGTCTGGGTACACCTGCAAATAATAGCACCAGTTATACACATCTTAAGTCCGCATTGATTTTTCATTGATTTTTTTTTTTTTAGTTTTTAGATTGGTGGCAGCTGCTTGCATTCTCTCTAGATAGACAATCATAGACTAAAAAGCGCTTCTGCAAATTTACACAACAATCACAAAGAAACAACACAAAACAGAAGAAGAAGTGGTGGAGTTAGCAAAAACTCGCATGGTAATTCTCAGAACCGCGTGTGTCAAACGTCCGCCGAGTTAATCAATCTTTTATGACTCGCACGAGACGTCTACGCGTACGAGTACATTGTGTTGAGTGTTCAAGTGTACACACAAAAAAGCCCTGCTTTTAATAGCAGATTGGTGTAGACAGATTGCAAAAAGGATTCATCATTCTCTTTTGTCTTCAAAGAAAATGTGTGTTTGGGTGTAACAAGTGTATTAATTAGTTTGTGCTAACTTTGCTAGTAATAGGCCATGAAATATTACGGAAAGTTTTAATAAAGTTATCGGGATATAGTACTGCGACCCTTTTTTACTTTGGCATGAGTTTGATTTGAAGTGGAAGCAACTTACGACTTGTTGGAAGAGAATGCCTTGTTCGATCATCGACTTGGCGAACATCATCGAATGCTGGGGATTGACGGTGGTGTCAGCTGTGCCATGGACTAACAAGTAGTTGCGATCGTTTAAATTTCCAGCTCGTTTTGTTAGGTCCGAATTTTGGTATTGGATTGTTTGCTCCGAAGGGAAACCGAAGTATTTTTCAGTGAAATATGAATCTGAAATAGTTTTTATTGGTTATGTTTGTGTTTAAATAGAGAAATATTTATATTTTGGGGAGGGTTTTTTAGTTTTTGATTATTTGTAGTTAAAAATGGTAAGAATAGTGCTAAAAATACGAAAATATTGGGCAAAAACCAAGAAAAATCAAATTTTTGTAGAAAAAGTAGTTTTTGTGAGGTTATGTTCCAATAAGCAAAATTCTTCGCAAAATTAATATCTAATAAATCCATTACTTACTATAATATAACCAATTGGTAATAGGTGATATGCTCACTGAACAATTGAGCACCTGCTGAATATCCTGTAATAACAACATGGCTGCCACATAACCTCCATACCCACTCCCAACCGCGCAGATTTTATCTCTGTCGATGAACTTATTAAAATTATCGCGTAAATAAGTCAGAACTGCAAGTTGATCTTGTACTTCAACTTGTCCAACTCTGCAAAGTAAATATAAAACATTTATAAGTTAAGTAACTTAAATTTAAATTTTGATTATTAATAATATTTACTTTTTAAATATCTCTCTTCGCATTTTTTCGCCCTGGAAACCACTCCCACGTACGTCAATATGAGCTACAACATAACTCCTTGTACTTGCTAGGAACCACGGCCATGAGAGTTCCCATTTTTCTGATACAGACTGAGAACCTGGTTTAGAATCCCTGTAAAATAAAATAAAATAAATTGATTAAATTCTATATTAAGTATCAAGTGTGCTAAATGGCACTTTAACAACGTTTAGCGACGTGCTGCTATCACAATTTTTTCTATTTCCACTGAATTTCAACGTTTAATTTTAATATTAGAACTTTTTATTTATATGTAAGCTCCACCCCGTGACTAAAGTACTTTAATCACGGTTTTAACTGTCTGTGACTAAAATACCACTTTTTGTCTCACAAAACCGTGAAAAAAGTGAAAGTAGAAAATAATAGTTTATTAATTTACATTAAAATTACTTACACTATCAAGATAAGAGGAAAAGCCACATCTTCATACTCTCTCAAAACCGGAGGAAGATGCAACATAACCTGTGCTTTATAAGTCTCATCCCTATCATCAATATCCACATGAAACTTTTTAATCCGTGGTTTCGACAAATTCCTAACTCTATTCCTCAACGATGACGACGAATCCAAAATAACCATACGGTAATTAGTCGCCGTTTCCACTAAAAACAACACCGGGATATCCGGTCCGAGACATTCCTGCACGTAATATCGAAAATTCCGGCTGAAAAACACGTTGTTATAGTCGCACTTGTAGTACAACAGCATCGTGTCGTTGAGCAGCGTGTCGTTCATTAAATCCCCATCGAATGAAGTGATGTTGAAGTCGATTTTCGGCTGGCAGGTCATACATGTCCACGCCTGAGTGGAATTCGTGTCGCCGATTTTGAACAAGTGTCGTACACCCGGATTCTCTTCATTCGTCGCGATGGCGTATCTGTAGACATAAAGTGCGTGGGATAATTAGAGTTTTTTTCGTTCGTTTTACACACGATTTGACGTACATCAAGTGGTTCTCTTCATCCCAGCCGATTATCCGCGTCACCTCGAACGCGCCGTGGGTGAGCGGGATCACGTTCTTCGAGGACAATTGGCAGACGTGCATGAAGTCGCCATTGTTGCCGTCCTTCACCGGGCAGCGTATTAGTGACTGATGGCCATTACGCGCGAATAGCGGGTGGAAAATCGGCTCGGTCCAGCCGCAATTATCTTTGTTGCTGGAGTCACAGCTGGCTTTTTCGATGTGAAACTGTGATGAGCGAAAAAATTTACATTTTATTGTTGTAATTATGCATGTGCACAGGATAATTACATTAGTGCAGTTGTAATTGTTGCTGCCTTTGCATTGAAGGATGACGGACGTATTCTGACGGCGATTTAGCCATACGACTGAAACGTCGTTATCGTTATAAAACCGAGCGCTCGTTAAATAACTGTCGGGTTCCACGCTATTTGTTGGTTTTATTTCGATTGCCGTGATGTATTTTAGGGATTTTTTTAGGTTTACTATCCATACAGATGCCACAGGATTGTTAGTTTCCACCTAGAATTATAAGAAATTTAAATGAATAATATTTTTAACAAGAAAAAACGTAAAAAACTTAAAAACGTGAAATTTTGCTTTTTATCTCAAAATGTTTGCGTTATTTGGGAAAACGTGCAAAGCTATCAACTCAATAATTTAGATATTATGGCGTATATATACCAGAACTAAAGTAAAATACTTTGCGAAAAGAAAAATAAAGTAAATTTAGAATAAATCACGTTTTACTGTTAAATAGCAAGTAATTTTTACGAAATTTCAGTTTTACGAGTTTCTTTCCAATTTTAGAAAGTGTTTTTTGTTATAACTTTTGGTTGGATATAATTACATTATTCTTTTAAAAACCAATCACCTATTTTTACAACAATCTATTGATTGCAATAATAAAAACTCAACAAAAATAATTTTAAAAATTCAAATTTTGGTCAATTTCACCAAAAACAAAATTAATCAAAAATCTTTCTAAAAAACCCTTTAATAACACCCCAAATAAAACCCAAAAAACCAAATTTTTTGCCTAAATGTTTACTTTGATGTCTAGTCATTACTAATCCGATTATTAACCAACCTCCGACCCCCAATCTCCAACTAACATTAATCCTACCTGCGGATACTTGACCGTTTTAATCTTGGGATATTTCTCGTGCGGATTCTTGCTGTCATACCACGGGTACTTGTAATCCTCTACCAAGGTGTCGTTAAAGCTCAAATACAAGAGATTCATGCCATCCGGCGAGAACCAAAGCGCGTGATCGGTGTGCAAAAGTTCACTCTCGTAGAGCCAGTCGGGCACGCCGCTGAACACCCCGTCAGCACCATTGCTAGTAATACGACACACGAGTTCCTTCTGCATGAAAGGTTTGTAATAGACGTCGTTTTCATAGACGAAGGCAATCGCCGATCCGTTCGGCGACCAGGTGGCGTACTGCAGATGCGGTGCATTTTCATCGGTTTCGTTCGGTGAGAGCGGCTTACGAAAACTGCACACGCCGCATAAATTAATAAAAATCACATTTCTTTGACTTTCTTAAACTATATTTATACCTTGTATTGCGGTCGTAGATGTAATACCGTGCCAATCGGGTGTGTTCGTAGATTTTGATGACGTCGGTTATGAGAAGCACGTACTTCAGATCGTTCGATATCTTGAAATCGACTGCGTTGTATTGTCTCTGAGCACAACAAAGTAAAACAGAGTACTTTAGAGCTTTGCGAGAAAACTAAAAACTTGTTTGCTGTAATTTGCTTGTAAGTTAAATTGGAAACTCGATTCAAAGCAAGGGTTTACCCGCAGGGTAAAACAATTTGGATTTATTTAATGTTGAGAAGTTTAGCAGCGCAAAGATTTGCTTATCGGTGAATCCAAGGCATGGAGAGCGTTAAGGAAGGTATTATTAATGACTTACAAATGTTACGTTCGTAACGAGGACTTCCGTCGTCAGGTTCTCGGCGTTGTAGAGCGTGACGCCGCCGTAACGATCCTGGTAGACAAATTCTGTGTCTGTAACAAGGCGGAGAAAAATAGCCGGGATAAGATTTTATAAATGCGACACATTCCTAGTGCGGTAAAATGTTGCTTTCTTGTGGTGCGGTAGTTTTTGTTTTGTTATTATTTTTTTCGGGGCCATTTCGCAGTCACGCTTGCTGATTCTTTAAATTTTTTTGCTCTTTGTGGATGCCAGGACGAGTATTGCGTTCTTTTGTGCATTAGTAACGTTTGTTCCGCACCATTTCTCCGAGGGTGATCCCAGATAACAAATATTACTAGTATTTGTATTACTAGGGAGAGAAAATGTTAAATTTTGTAAAAAATTAGAAAAAAGTGATTTTTTGCATATTTAAAGAAAAATAATGAAAAAAATTGAAAATTTTCATTGAAATAAAACATTTAATAATATATTATGTTGATTATATTAATTTGCTTTACAATAATTTACTAATAATAGCATTTCTAGCAAAGAAAACTGCAAATTGTCCAGAAAAATTAGAAAAAACGTGTTTTTCGCTAAGTTTCAACAAAATTCATAAAAAAATTTGTTGACTTCAATTAAAATCAAGTCTTATATTACGTAATGCGCTGTTTGTAATGATTAACTTCACAGTTACATTGTCATAATAAAACGTGAGTTGTTAGCGGGTGAGTTTTTGGCACAAAAGACCGCTCCATCAAATTTTCAACAGCCACCCACCAATGTAACGTAATTTGTCGGCACGAACGCGCCTAGCGCCTCGTAGCGTTTCATAAGAAGGAAGAAATCAAATCAAGCGAGCGCGCTGTCGTTCTGTCGTTTTGTTAGTCTTTACCTCAACTCGCAATTTCGGTAACTAGCTGGAAGCGAAATAAAGAATACAAAAATTTATCGTTTCATCGAATATAAAGCGATGATGGAGTAAATTATGTCATCAAAGGCAATAATTCAAGTTGGAACATCATATTTGTTTTTAACATCATGTTTTATTGATGCCCGGCGCCTCCACATTCGTAAATAATAAAATTTACTTAGAATTTTTTTAAATACAAATTAAAGTAGTATTTCTTTAAATTAAATACTAAATTTAATTTATATAAGTAATATGTTTAGTGAACAATTGATTTACGTTAGTTTCCTGGCGCCTCCACCATTTTAGACCAAAAAATAAATAATTTCTTAACCCAAAGTCATTACTCTCATGGAAACGTAGTATTCCTAAATCAATACACAATGTATAATAAATCACGCTGTAAAAATTCATTTAAATAATTTATTTCCAGGTTAAAGTCTTTAAGTAGCTGGAAAAGTGGTTGTCGCGACGATGTGTTGACATAATTCCCACGTGAAATTCGTTAATGGCCCGAAAGTATCCCACCCACAATGCAAATTACATGTAATAATATCAGGTGTTTGTTTACTTTTTGTGTGTGTGTGATTCTCTACGCTAGAAAAATATTGTTTTGGACTTGTGAAACATGTGTCGAGTTTATAAACGTCGTGCTAAAACAATATTTGTCGCATAAAAATAGAGAGGAGAAATATTGTAACGTAAACGGCGGAGAGTCTGAAGCAAAAAATAATTGTGACATGGGAATGAAAATAAATTTCAGGGTTTAGTGCAAAAATGTTTGTGTCAACGTCCTCGGGCGTGAAGGTTTTACAGTTTCAACCTTTCAGACGCATATTGTATGAATGTATGGGTGTAGGTATGGCGTGGGCAGTGCATTTTCTTTTATTGTTATATTTTGGGGAATGTGACTTTAACTGAAAGCATTTTTGCGTCCAGTCCCTTGTCGACACAAACTGTCGCCATGGAAAAGTTTCATTTAAGAGCGGGTTGCAGTAAAAATCATAAAAATAGTTTTTTGCCATGTGTTTCCGAAATTATTAAAATTTTATTCATTTCGCGATAAACTTTGTGTAAATGTAGTTTTATATTAATATTCTTGTTGAAGTGTAACTGCTCCTCTGTGTAATAACGAAAAAAATTAATTTCTAGCAATTATGCAATAGATTTTGTGCAAAAAATGAAATTTATAAAAGAAAACAATATTTATCTTCGTATTTTATGCATTTTTTAGTCAAAATTCATTAAAATCCTTTAAAAATTGCTAATTTAACTTAACTAAAGATTGGAAACTCTGACCATTATTGTTTTACACGATGTTTTTAATAAAAAAATCAGAAAAAATCATCAAAAAATACAGAAATTTCTCTAAAACTTCCCAAAAAAATTAAAATAACTCAAGGTTTTATGTATTCCTTTGAAGTTACGAGTCTATGGATTCCTCACAACACAAGAATAAAATGTATGCAATATCAATCGACCGTTTCCGTGATAAGTGCGCGGACAAAGACACCGCGTGGTGTAGCCATAGTAACTGCATCGATTACTTATCGTAATCCTGCGATGCCGAGGCACCTTCGGGCAGAATACCAATTCCGCCAACTTTCTTCCCGCTTGCCGAGCTTTTCACTCGCTGCTTGCATCTCCGGATTTAATTGTTTTCATGACTACTTTTTGTGTCTTTCACGGCGCCCATAATGGTGTGTTGATATATCACCGCGGTTATGTACAATCTATTTTTACAGCGCTATTACAAAACAATTCTGGAAAATAATTTTCTTCGCAGACTTAAAAATTCAATTAGTGTTTTGATTGTGTAACAATAATTGCAACTTCTAGGAATAGAATTTTTTAAAATTATTTCGAGATGAATGGTTCAGGTTTAATTTTAATTGGCGGAAAGCTCGATGAAATTTAGTGTTTCTATGACGTGCGTCAGTTTTCCAAATATCGATTTCAGAACACGCTGGAGTAAAACCCTTTCTTTCATCTCCCTGGAGCAGGAAGAAAGCTGGAAACTTTCACAAAAAGAAAGAATTTATCTTGGTTGAAACTGCGGCGATGGTCTGAGTCGAAGCTTAAGTTTTATTTGAGTTGAATCTTCTCAGGACGAGCCTTTAAGTTCTTTTTTCAATTTTTATTTCTATGACATATCTTTTCAGTCAATACGTGAAAGTATTTTTAGATAATCTCAAAATTTTCAAACCTAAACCAAATTTGAGGTTATTTTAGCTTAACCTCAATTTTCTTTCTCTCAATTGATTAAAAATGACTTCAGAAAACCAAATTCTGTGAAATTTGATTATTTTTTCATAGCATAAATTACAATTTGCTGCTTTTTTGAAAAAAAGTATTTCCACCTGCACGAAAGGTTAATTGGCTGTGCGAAAAAGGTTTTTTGGCTCCCGCAAGTGTAAATCTCATTCAGGTCTAAATGAGAAACGTGTCGGGGCGTAAATGGCCACCACCCGAGTGCGAGAAATTACGAATTCGAATTAGTGATTTACCTGAGATCCACGTGCCGTTGAATCACGCCGGCGGCGGCAGCTTGAGAAATATATCTTCGAGACTCGGCTTGCGACCTTTAACGCGCGGCCCCTCCTCCGGGGGTGACACCAGCACGATGCTAAACACGATCAGGCCCAGCACGGCGACGATCACCAGCAGCGCAATGAAGATGCCGCGCCAATTGCGCTCGCTCGGCGAGCTCACTGCCAACTCCTGCGGGCAACAAACAAAAACACACACGAATCAAATGCATGTTATGTAAAGTGCACTTTTGATTAAGAACTTAAAAACGTTAAAATGTTTGCGTCGCTTTGACCTCGCAAGTCATTACACTGCAATGACGTGTGAATCACCAGACGAGCACTTAACCATCCGAAGCGATTCTAAAAAGACTGATAAAAAGTCTATTCGGAATTTATTTCGTCCCGGCTGCAGCGTAGACTCGAACTTCACATACCAAAGCCACTCGGGGGATGAAATGGTGACTCATTCGTTGCGACGAGTTCAAAAACCACTTAACCACATACGACTAATGCTGATACAGGATAGTAATTTGAAATTTTGGGAGTAATTCAGTGCCAACGCCACTAACGGGCAATCAATCAAAATTTAATCAGCGCCGAATGCAGGATATTACCACAAGGAGTTAAACGCACTTGTAAATTAACTATCTATTGATAATATTGCTCGCAAAGTAGATTCAATCTAATTTGAATGAATTGTATTATATTTGGATGATGAGATACGCATGTTAATAAAACAAATATTAGATTTGATTCGTAGACAGACAAATTGGACTTTTATTGTTTGCTTATTTGGTTTTTTGGTTGAGATATCAATTGTTTTTTATTATGTACCTATTTGTATGAGGGGTAAAACTCTTGAAGTCCTGAAGCCGTAAAACTAAAATGGTTTTAGTGTATATTTCAAGATCTCTTCAATTTTACGAGTTAGGTAGCAGATTTATCCCTCAGGAGAGGAATGCTGATAAGGGGATTATTTATTAGTACTAAATTTTAGAAAATATAAAATATAACATCATGATATTTCGTTTTAAGCAGAAATTTTTGATTTTATGTATGTTTGTTCTTCTTTAACGTAGAAACCACTTAATTAAATTTGGTATAAATGGACATATAGATAGATTTTACTCTGGAAAGGGATATTAAACCCTTTTCACCAAGAAAATAATGTTTAAAGAGGGTAAAATAAGGGATGAAAGATTGAATAAGACATTTTTACAGAAAAAAAAATTAAAATTCGCATTTTTTACTTGATATATAGTAAATAATGAAAATAAAATCACGTTATACAATTATATACGCAAATTTAACAGTATTTGTTTGTTTGTTTCGCTTTCACGATTAAACTATTCAACCAATTTTAATATAATTTGGTATAACAATAGATTATGCTTTGGAAAAAGACATAAACAACTTTTTATTGCAAAAATATTACTCAAAAGGCGTAAAATATAGGATTTAATTATACTATAGTAGATTATGACACAAAACATCAAAATTATATTAATTAAACCTATTCTCCCAAAATAAGTTGTCTCTCTAAGCCAACAATAGATTTAATTTGCTGGGAGAGAACCCTTCGTGTATTTTCGGCGCTCCGGGCAAAAAAGACAAAGACTATATTCTCCTCTGTGGGATCTATTTAGTACGACTGATGATAGATATATCTTCACTCATTCTCTCCGCAATGTTCTGTAACTAACATGTTTACTTGATATATCGCGGCCGTATCATGTCTGCATCTGCCAGAAAACTCATCACTAAGCTGATTGTACTTTTTAAGCTGATTCTCATTTCATGTTCCAAGAACTAAAAGTACCCAGATTAAAACAATAAAACAATAAATCCTGCATAACATTTTTCTGTTTTCTAGTTTGTTGGTTGTGATGAAGATTATATCCTGCTAAAGTTTATTATTACTCTGCCTAAACTCATAATATATCAGAAACAGATAACCAGCACAAGTTGCGATCCATAAATCAAGGCGTTATAGTACTTAATGGAGCTAAAAATCAAAAGATACTAAAGTTTACGTCTATGGCCATAAAGTCACACAAAATAATTAGGTCAAAGGGGTAATAAACAAAAAAGAAACATAAAACCGTGAAGATTTACCGCAACATATGCAATATTTTCATTGGATTCATAAAATGCATTACGCTTGACCTCATCGTGCTAAATGCGATGGTTGCATGTCTGGGGAAGTTTGTCAAGGTATGCAATTTGACAGCAACGAGTATAACATCCCTCATATAGAATATAATTTATAAGTATTATTTTTATAACATGGGCGTAGATGATTTTAGAGGTTAATTGAAGTGAAGAGTTATGAAAATTCCATTAGGATGACTCATGATATGTTATAGGTTATGTTAATTTTATATTCTAACCTCTTTTAAGAATTATACATTATAAAATAATGAAAAATTATATATTAAGTATCAAGTGTGCTAAGTGACACTTTAACACCGTTTAGCAACGTGATGCTTACGCTATGTTTTCTACTTCCACTCTATTTCCACTTTCAATGCGCAGGCAAGCTCCACTCCGTGGCTAAAGCACTTTAGTCACGGCCTTGGCAATTCATGATTAAATTAACACTTTTTATGTCTTAAAGCTGTGAAAAATGTTGCGTTTTAAAGCAAGAAGTAAAAAAATTTATTAAATTTCAACAAAAAAACAAAAATATTCATATTTTTATTATAACATTCATCCATATACTCGTATTTTTTCCACACTCAACATATTGCTTCCTCTCCAAGTAAACACACAGCTTCTTGGCACACACGCCGCCTTTTTGTTCGCGATTTTTTCGGTAATTTATTTTCCTTATTCACAGATTTATCTCCCGGATATTTTTTTGCATCGCACGTAGGTACGAGGTAAAGTTGTAACTTCGGATTTCGTCGAAGCGGCCTCGGCGCGCATTCCGCGTTTCATTTCTTATCGCGCCTCTTTCCCGATTCGATTCCATTCGTTTCTGGCACGTTCAAATACTCGTATCTACAAATACACGGTATCTGCGAAGAAAAGCCCACAATCGAATAAAAGTCACCTCGAACCTGAACTTATACTGATCCCGAATCTTCGCAGATAATTCTTGCAAACTTCCTGTATGCACAGCAGTAAAACGCACAGCGTTATTATATTCATACGCAACAATAATTTAGATGGCACTCTTTGAATATGATAGATGTACGAGTATGATAAATACACGTTGGTATGTGTCATGTGAATCGGAGCAGTCATGTATTTTTTTAATAAGTGAGAAGCGCTCGAAGGAAAAACGGGGAAATTTATTGCCAGCGCAGAGCGAAGATAAACAATCAGCCCGTCGCAATATATTAAGTTATTAATAATAAATCAGTGTTTTGCTGGATATTGCAACATGCGTGCTGATATTGGAGGTTAGGTTAGGTTATGATTGACTTGTTTTTATTGCGGGGTTATGTTTGAAGTGGTCGATGCGAATGATGGATTGCTTTCATTATTTTTAGCTTACTGTAGGTTAGGGAATGTTATTGAGTTTATTCAAATCAAACATTAAACAGAATACGATGTTGTACACATAAATATTTAAGTTGACTTCATAACTAAAACATAATAAAGAGAATTTTAATATGAAATAGTTTTTTTTTTATTATGTAGGAGCCGGTAAGTAAGAAAACTGTAAATTAATTACAGAAATCTGTAATTTTTTGTGTTTTTGAGACACTTAACCTTATTTTTACAATTGTAGGCTATTAAAATGGCGGCATTTTATAAAATTTACAAATTCTAAAGAATAAAAATCAAAGTAAACGATTTTCTAACCTAAAAATTAAAATTTTAAATGTTTTGAATCATATTTTCTGATTTTGAAAAGAAATAATAAAAATTTAATATTTTCCAAGCAAAAACTATAATTTTATTTCCTCTTACTCCTAATTTACCCTCTTTGAGTCATTAATCACTGCTAATTACAGAACAAATGAATCAAGACAGATAATCACCCATCTTGAGTTTCAGTGATTAATCAACCACCGAACAATTGAATTATGAACAATAAACCAGTTATAGAATAATAGTATTTACTGTCCGAAGCATGAAATTTGCACTACACGACCAAAAACATAACCCCGCATCATTTTCCGCTATTGTTTTTATGGTTGCCTATAGTTACTCTGCGTATCATTTTATTACACATTGCATTTCCCAGTTGTTCTGCTCTAATTTCCAACGCGCGAGTAATTTGAAAGTGTAATAAAGTGTTGATACAAGCAGCGGTGTTACACGCGTCGTTTGTTTTTGATATTAGCGGATATTATTGTTGAAGACATCCACTTCCTTCCGGCGCTCAGCGTGGATTATAGTTTGTGTATGAGGCTGCTTAGTTTCGCCGCGATATTTTATTAAAATGAACCATAAAGCCGAGTGCCCAAAGTTGTTAAAGCCGCATACCAACACCTATATAGAGTAGTAGTATAGGTAGTTACTGTGATACAGTAAAATATGGAGTATTATATACACATTGGTTTGATAATAAAGTTTTAGTGTAAATATTAATGAGTATAATGTTTGTAATGGAGTATTTGTGGTTATGTTAGTTAAATGGTAAAGTAATGTAGAATTAACGTTAAAATAATGAAATTTATGTTTTTGAAACTTAATTTTTATAGTTTGGACATAGTATATTAATGACTTGCTACTATAAATAGAAGTTTCATGTTTGAAGGATGTTAACACGACATTAATCACGAATCAAATTATGGTTTAAGTAAACATACTGGATTTTACTAATATGCACGGTATTTACATGATATAATTTTTGATAGGAGGTAATTTATGATCTATTTTATTAGTATAGAATGGAAAAATAAATAAAAACCTTCAATTATGGTTTTTTACAAGGTAAGTTACAAATTTCGTTGTGAAAAAAAATACAGCCAATCTGCTTGCAGAACGACACAGAGCGTGTTTACACAAGTTCACCCTGACGTGTGTATCGCTATTTAACACACATACGCGTACTATTGCTGACAAATAACTAATATTATTGCCAAACCCTGAATTAATGCGAAATTGTGCATCCTAACGACATCTCGGTTTACGCAAAGTAACTAAAGTAACTGAGTTTATATGATTAATTCTTCAGACATACTTTAATTGCGTATATCGGCAGTTTCAAGGCAAATTTTTATCAAAAATTTTGCAAATTCATTAAATATTAAATAAATTTAAATTTTCAAGGTAGAGAAATTGTTTTAATTGCTTTTTTTGAACAAAAATTAAGTAGGTATGTATACGATTTTTTTTGCAATTTTTTACAATTTTTGACATTTTTGTTTAATTTATGCAAAATTGTTATAAAAAATTACAAAAAATATTAATTCCTTCAATTGTTAAATAATTTTAGTAAATTTGGTAAAATAATTTAAATAAAAACTACTCGTTTTGTTCAAAATCATATTTTTTTTGCAATTTTTATGCAAAAAAGTTATAGAAATATTATTTTCTTTAATTACCAGCTGTAATTATTACGCTAAAACTAGATTAACCAAATTTTATCATCTGTACCCTTTTTTTCCTCCAAAATTTTTCATTTTTTCCACGTCTGCGAATTTTTCTAAAGCTTAATTTGTATGTCACGATACACAGCATCATATTTATGATATTTATGACTCTAAACCCTCCCATTCCATTCATGTTATTCTCATATAAAGCATAAAAATACCTCCCGCACAAAAATGCAGACATATTTGTCACCGTCACACGCCCCAGCCTCCACACTAAATTGATTGATAACCATAACTTTTGCAATCCAGCAAAAAACGATCAAAATATTAAATTGCGCGAGTAATTAAATTTACTCGCAAATTCACAAAACATTCTCCCAACTCGATTATTATCATCCTCTCCGCCTGGCCGGAAAAACAATCAACATTAAAACGGTATAACGACGATTAAAAATGAAATCCACGTGCAATGAAATAGTTTCATTTCGCGCGGATTAGAGACGTCATAAAAGTATGACGCTTGATTAAAAATGCAATTGTAAACAGTACGTGGTGTGCCAGATGTGTGGGACTTGTCACGCGTGGACAGTGTATGAAACCGAAACGCAATCAGCATGATTGCAGTGCGATGTGCAATGTGCATTAATTTAATGCGCATGTAGCACGAAATCTGGTGTTGTGTGAGGCGGATATGATGGGAAACAGAATGGGAAGGATTCGGGCAGTGAGTGCTTGGACATGTTGACGCGTTCGATCGCATCGCGTCGCGTCGTCCTGGTTTCGGGTCCTGCTAGGGTTTTATTTTGGGTTTGGGAAGGAGTGGGTTTGAAATGTGGATATTATGGACGTTCAACGATGAACGATGAAAATCAGCATAAAAATTATCATAAGCGCCCAAGGGTCTATATACAGCTTCATTATCATAGCATTTTTTTCGGGGGTGGAAACTTCTTAAACTTTTTTATCAAGATTGTTACATGTAACGTTTACGGCGTTTTTTGTGCTGAATCAGCAAGAAATAATTTTTGGAATAGAATATTTAAGGATTGAGTGTAATGGGAAACGTCAATCTATGCATAACATAACCTAACATAACCTAGCTTTAGAACTATTGGTATTATTATTTATATTTGCTTTTAGAAAATTGTAAGTTATTTTTGTTCAGCGATTTAAAAAAAAATTGTAAGATTTGTTTTGACAGATTTATGTAAACAAACGTAATTACGCATTTTCTTCAATTTTCTCTTTTTGTAATCGATATTCTAATAAAATATTTAGTTCTGACATTGAGTAGATACGATATTAGTGTTGGCTATTGTTTAATTTGTGATTTTAGTGTCTCAATCATAAAAATTACTGTTTTTTAGTCTTTTGTTTAATTTATTGGTAAATATACATTTATAATTAGAAAATAAATCATTTTAGAGTAGAAAATATTAAATTTTATTTATTAAATTTGTGATTTGCAAAGATTTGGTTGAAAATTTGACTTGAAACGGCCGAAATATACGATTAAAGTTTGTGTGGACATTAATCATACAACATATTTACTTTAGTTATTTTGCATAAACCGAGATGTCGCTAGGATGCACTATTTTGCATTAATTCCGTGTTGGGCCATAATACTAGTTGTTTGTTAAAGGAGTACGTGCATGTGTGTTAAATAGAGATAGACACATCCGTGTGAACTTGATGTGAACATGCTTTGCGTCGTTCTGCAAGCGGATTGGCTGTTGTTTTGACTCAGCGTATCAGCGCATCAGAATACTCGTATGAACCATGCCTAGTATACTTAAGTATATCTATGTAATTTCAGTATAAAACACGAACAGTTTACTCCTCATCAATAATTTTTTAATAAAATAAAAATAATTTATTATGATGTAACCTAACTCAACATAATTGAATGTAACATGATATAATAGATATTTTAACCTGCGCAATACAACAAAATCAATTCAATTGCCCATGATTAAACCGTTTTAATCATATCTATAGTGTGTAATTACATTAACTGTTTGTGTGCGCACATCCACTGTCACAGATAAGTGCGAATCGTTTGCGTTCGTTTTTAATTAACATTGGCGCTATTGCCATATGCAATAAACCAATAAACACTTGTTTAGCATTTGGCCGGCGCTAAGTATCTGAGCTAATATTCAGCAATGTAAACATGGTGTCAAATCAAGGACAAAATACTAAAGATAATTGTTATCCACTTAAAATCTAACACCAAAACAATTTAAACTTAAATATTAATAAGTGAACACAAATGAAAAATTAAACGTAAGTATTTTGAAAGTTTTTAAGTTTTATTGCAATAAAAAAGTTTTTATGTTGATTTCCAGATGAAATATTGAAGAAGTTTATGGATTTAAGTTAAATCTTTTATTAAATTGTGTGATAACTTGAGATAAACTATGTTAAACTGTATTTTTATCTTTTAATTTTTATTTTTATTATGTAATCACATAATAGATTAATATATATGTTTTAAAATTGATATTAAATTACAATTTAATTATAATTTTGTGTTAAAATGTCAATTAGGCGAAACAAGTCAAAATAAAATTTAAATTAACATAAAAAAACTTTAAAAAATAAAAATAATTTTTTTTCTAAATTTTGGTTTATTTGATTTTATCTCGACATGAGTTAGATGCAGTAAAAAGCTGTTTATACATCAATTATCAACGATTCGACAGGTTTACAAGTAAAAACATTTCACATTACCTCGTATGCATAGGGTGCATTAATCGTCACCCTTTGCGGCGTGCTCTTCGGCGTGGCAATCGCACTTTTTGCGCCAACATTGTTCGCCTCGTTCTGTTTCGTAGCCGGATCGACGGCGGTCATTATTACCACAAGACGGGATTTTTATGTTTATTGTTATTGTCGCAATCGCTGTCTGCAGACGCGTTTTGCAAAGCTTACTATCGACACGATTCCTAAATATCCTCAAAGCCGATAATAAAACGGTGTAAAAAACTATTTTTGATTTTATTTTCCGTGTAAATATAATTTATGTTTATCCAGCTAATAATCTAGTGATAAATGGACATCAATTTTGTTTATATATACAAAACCAAACACACATTTATCTAACATTGAGCAATTACACGTATATTATTAACTATATATTTTTAGCAATTTTTGTTTTGCGAGCTTTTTAAAAAATAGTTTTATTTTGGACGAAATTCTTTTTGACCAGCGCACGTTTGTTATTTGTTTACTCGTTTAGGACTTAATTGAAAATTCGCTGATGCGTGCCATGCCAACGTGACAAATGGACGTTGTGTGTGTATAAACAACAAACGTAAAAATCGCGGGCCCAACGTGCGGCGTGCGTACGAGGCGGAACATTTGGGACGACTGACGGCGGCCGCGGCGGCGGCAGCGCAGGCGACGCGTCCCGAGAATTTCCCTCGGCAGCGGCGCGCATCGCGCATCCCAGCTTTTCAGCGCTTTTGTATCACTACGAGAACCAGAAAGCTGTAAATTAAGTTTCCGACGTGCGATCATTATTAATTATAATTAAAATTATCATTAAGCGGAACATTTATGAACTCGCCGAGTTGATAATATCGTTAGGCGATAAGAGCATCCGGTGCAGTTCTTTTCGCTAATTTGATGGCTTGTACATCGATTCAATTAGCGGAAAGCTCTTTAGCTCTTTAGTCCGGCGGCGAGATTGTTATTTTGAGGTTGTATCTTAATCTGATAACATTGTATATGATTACGTCTTGTTGACACGCAAGGGAATTCGGAGAATGCATTAGTTACGACGGTGTAGTTCACAGGGTTATTTACCAACCAGCTGGCGCCCTCTGTTAGTGTCGGAGGGGATTCGAGGAGAAGGCATTGATTTTTCGCACAAAGATGTCTAGTGTGGTGTTAGCAACGCCAACTGGGGAGTACTTTCAGTACTAGCAAATAGGTTTTCTCATAGGTTCACTGTATATCATGATAGGGGGCGCTAGAAACAAAAAATCTGTTCTTGAGGTTATTATTTTGTGTTAAAACGTCAAAATTTACAAAAATATTAATTATTAATCAAAAATATTAACAAATACAACAATTTTTACAATTTTTCATGATTTTATAACCTATAATTCCTAATAAATTGCTTCTTTGACAAAAAATCTCTCATTTCCTTTGTCAAATCAATGGATCAAAAATTCCTAACGTAATTCCACGATCAAACGATGTAACAACTCAGGCGTTGCCGTTTAACGTTTAGCCAATTTGTTGAATTGTATTTGTGCGCAGAATAAGAAATAAATAGAAGCGCCTCTCGCGGGAATGCGCTCATAAAAAGTGATTATCTATAAAAGCTCCGAAAGCTCCCCGCTAAGACTCGGAGCTTCGCGCGTGATCATCCATTAAAGCATGGATGCCACATTATTCTTGTCATAAAGTAATAGAAGTCGCTTTAATCATTCGCGCCGCGTCACGCTGGATCCGAAATTACTACAAGTGATTAATATTTAACTAACAGCAACTATCATCAAGTGCATGGACTTGTCGCCAAGATTTATGTTGCGTCAAGAGGATTACGCAGAAAAATATAAGCAGAGAATGAGAAGTGGGTAACGATCCAAGCGGGAGTTGTAAGTTATTGTTAGTGTTTGAAATTAAAGTTCTAGAGGGCGCTTGGTATCGATTTGGAGTCATCGGTGGCATAACCTAGTTTATTTAACATATTATGTTTGGATATGAAACGGATAAAATTATTATTATGAATGAATTGGAATAGGAATAATAGAAAAGTGAAAATGTTTGTTTGAAATCAATTTATGATTAAACCATTTGATGGATTTTGATGAAATTTTGTGTGAGAGTAGGTTTGATTATGGAGAAAGACATAGACTACTTTTTGTTATTATAAAAAACATCTACAGGGTGTAAAATAAGAGTTGAAATTTAAATCGGTGTTTAATCATAGTTTAAGTTTACGAATTAGACTCTAGATGGCGTTCTCACTCTTTTAAGATCAAATTATAAATAATTTATAATGTACTTGACTTTTGACTAACTGTTGTCCTAAAAAAATATAAATATCAAGTGACTCGTATTTGCACATTGCTAAAAGGCAAAATTTAGTGTCGTCGTAAAAGAAAACGTGTTTTTAAATATGAATACAGGACAAGCAGGCCATAAATTACCTCTTCACCGTCCTTTTTGCCGCATCCGTGGCCACCACCGGTGCTTTGAACGCTGTTCATCCTTTATTTGCCGCCGCAACACCCAGTGCATAAATACAAATTGCGCACGCACACCACACACAAACACACAATTGTTAAACACTTAATCTTCGTGATCCTGTCGATTTAAAACGTTTTTAAACTTTTTAAAAGCTGTTAATTTCACGTTGTGCTATTATTATCATTATCCTGCAATAAAAATAAAGCAATAAATCATTGTTCAGTTCATGAAATTAAACTGAAATCCATACGTCACTTTAATTACTTTTTACGCTTTTTAACCTCAGTGGATGACATTGTCAGAGTTGAATAATTTGAATTTTGATGCATGGACGATGAGCCATTGTGCAGGCGCAATTATTGCAGCCGGAGGCATTGTCAGAATCAATACGCGAATCTCGTTGAATCCGGTTGCAAAGCGCAAAACGATTTCAATTTTCTTTTAAGCCGGAGGTGAATTAATTCCAGTTGGTATAACCCGCGGCCGTATAATTAACCACAATTGGGAGTTTATTAAATATAAACATGGAGATAATTTTATTGGTTGATTAAAATCATATTTGTGTTGATATTGTGTTGCATATCAAACCAGAATAATTAATTTTCATGAGATAAATAAATAAATGTATGTGTATTGCACTTTCACGGATAAACCACAAAATTTATTTTGTTGAATTTTTGGTTAAAGATAGGTTAGAATATGGAGAAAGACATAGAGTAATTTTTTTTGTTAAAATTTTAGTTTTAAATGTAGTAAAAAAGCTTTAAAAATCATATTTGGAATTTAGCTACAATTATAGTTGTAAAATTCCAACGCAGATGTCGTTTGTATATTGGGTGGCCTATGTTAAATACACAAATAATTTTTTTTAACTTTTTACTTAAAATTTAATGAACTCGGTAATTATACCTGAATTAAAACATGCATTAAGCCTATGATGATGCACTCTTTTCATCTTTGAATAAAAAATTCCGCTGTTAATTGCTTTAGGTGAACAATACTCAGCGTAAAATTCCCGCCTCATTTGAATACGGATATGCCCACTGCACACGCACAGCGCATACGAGAGCTAACGTAAATATTAAACATTGGCGAACCGCGCTGGAATCGCAATTGCACCTACACACAGTTACACAGCACTTTGGAGGCGGCTCCGGCGGTGAATCGCTGCTTGCTTACAACCAGCCGTACATTTCAATTAAGCTATCAGGTTTGCTTTTTGCTCTATTGGATACAGACTACGGAGATCTGACCAAACGCAGCGCTCCGAATTGGAATAGAATTGAATTGGCTTTTATTGCTTTTTTATATTGCGCTGCTAAATCTCATTCAATTTACTGTTACTAATAGAATACTCAAGTACAGAATATTTGAAACTTTAAGTTTTGCGTGGCGCAGTTGTCACTATCAGCACTGGACAATTTGTGAGCACTTCCGATTGAATATTGATTTTCAGAATTGAATTTCCAAAGTTATTTGAAGTTTTTAATCAGATATTGTGTTGAATAAATTAGGAAATGTTTTTTGATTAAAATTTACAACCATTTGGGGAGCGTAAACTAACCTAAAAGCTTTTCCTTCTTCGGAGTGCAAACTTATGTGTTCCGTGAACCGCTGAGTTGAGCTTTTAGCTTTTATCAAGTCTACTGCACCGAATTTAGTAGAAAACGTGTCCAGGCGATTTATTATTGTCGCATTATATAGAAGGAACCTTTTAAAATAAAAATAGATTTTTTTTGCGTTTTGAGGTCAGATTTAAGCCCGTCTGAGCCGTTTAATCTTGGTTTTGGTTGCGTCAACAGATGCTATGACATTGTACCCACCTGATTGCATCTTACTGCGGCTCTTGTGGCCGATGGCTTGCAAAAGATCGGTTTCGAATGCGCGTGATAGGTGTTTGCGCGTCGATTTGTGTCCGGAGATCGGATCCGTAAGAGGATATCAATAAGACCCTTATTGGGCCCGCTTTTTCGTAGATAGCTTACTGAAATGGGAGCTACGGGATGCGATTACATGCGCGTTACGTTACATTACGTTATTGTATCCGACTTTCGGCGCGCGAGACAAAAGATTGGAGAAAAACAAAATAGAAACTGATTTTTCAATAAATTATGGTTAGGAAAATATGTTGTGTTTTAAAATGATATTTTCTTGAATAAATCGGATGGAAACAATAGTTGTAATAGCTTTTTGAGATATTGCTATCAATGGAGCATACATTTTTTTTGATTTCGAGTTTTTGTTGATTCTGGAACGTGAATTGGATTGCAGCGTGTGCATTTGAGTAGAATCTGAATATTATATA